AGAACTTTTGGGCGTGCCTTACTTGAGCGTATATATTTGTTGCCAAGAGCAAGAGCGTGTACGGACGTGCCTTGGCATGTCACATTTGAACAACATAGCCACCAAGTAGCCAATCTCAATCATCTAAGACAGCTCCATGCCCACCTCATTCACCATTCTCTCACTACCAAAAACCACTGGGTGGCTTTATTGCTTTCCCACTGCACTAACCTGCTCGCACCATTCACCTATGCTCGTTCTGTTTTCTGTTCTGCTACTGTACCTGATCTTCATGTCTTCACTTCCATGCTCAAATGCTATTCTCAAGTTGGTGCCCAAACTGAAGTACTTCTGCTCTACAAACATATGCAATCACTTGGTATAAAGCCTCCTGGGATACCCTTTTTCCCAGTTTTGATAAAAGCTGCAGGAAAAGCCAGCTTCATGTTCCATGCTCATGTAGTGAAATTGGGTCATGTTGATGAGCGTTATGTGAAGAATGCGATTATGGGTGCGTATGCGAAACATGAAGGTATTGAAATTGCTTGGAAGGTGTTTGATGAAATGACTGAGAGAAGTGCTGCAGATTGGAATGTGATGATTGGTGGGTGTTGGAAGTGGGGCAATGAGGAGGAAGCTAGGAGGATTTTTCATTTGATGAATGATTCTGAGAGGAATGTTGTTACTTGGACCACTATGGTTACAGGGTATGCCAAGTTAAGGGATTTGGAAAGTGCAAGGGTGTATTTTGACAAGATGCCAGAGAGAACTGTGGTGTCTTGGAATGCAATGTTATCAGGGTATGCTCAAAGTGGAGCTCCTGAAGAGACTTTAAGATTGTTTGACGACATGCTTGATTCTGGGATGGAACCAGATGAAACAACATGGGTTACTGTTATATCATCTTGTTCATCTCTTGGGGATCCCTGTATTGCTGAGTCACTGGTCAGAAGGCTATACAGAAAGAAAAATTATTCAAGTTATTATGTGAGGACGGCGCTGCTTGATATGCATGCAAAATATGGGAACCTAGAGGCTGCTCGGGACATTTTTAATCAACTAGGTATGCATAGAAACATTATCTCATGGAATGCCATGATTTCTGCATGTGCAAGAGTAGGGGATTTATCGTCAGCACGATACCTCTTCAATGAGATGCCAGAGAAGAATACTGTCTCATGGAATTCTATGATTGCTGGTTATGCTCAAAATGGCGAGTCACTCGCAGCACTGGACCTGTTCAAAGAAATGATCTCCCGTAAAGATTCAAGACCTGATGAGGTGACTATGGTTAGTGTTATCTCTGCTTGTGGACATCTTGGGGCACTAGAGTTGGGTAATTGGGCTGTGAGCATCCTGAAAGAAAATCACATCAATCTCACCATCTCAGGATACAACTCTATAATTTTCATGTACTCAAGATGTGGCAGCATGGAAGATGCCACAAGAACATTTCAAGAAATGGAAACCAGAGATGTGGTTTCCTACAACACATTTATTTCAGGGTATGCAGCCCATGGCCATGGACATAAAGCTATAAATCTACTGTCAAAAATGAAAGAAGAAGGGATTAAACCAGATCGGATAACCTATATAGGAGCACTGACAGCATGTAGTCATGAAGGATTATTATTAGAAGGCCACAAGGTTTTTGAATCAATTGAAGTTCCTGATGTAGATCACTATGCATGCTTGATTGATCTGTTAGGCAGAGTGGGTAAACTAGGAGAAGCAATCAAGTTGATTTCAACCATGCCAATGGAACCCCATGCTGGAATCTATGGCTCCCTTCTAAGCGCTTGCCGAATTCATAAACGAATCAAACTCGGGGAACTTGCTGCAGCAAAACTGTTCAAGCTTGAGCCACATAACTCAGGCAATTATGTGTTACTATCAAACATATATGCTTCAGCTGGTAGGTGGGAAGATGTTGATGAAGTTAGGAAAACAATGACAAAACAAGGATTGAAGAAATCAACTGGGTGGAGTTGGGTGGAACATAAGGGTCAAATGAACAAGTTCATAGTGGGAGACAGATCACATGAAAGGTCAGATGATATCTATAAGCTTCTGATAGGTCTGAAAGTTAAGATGAGAAATGCAGGATATGTAGCAGATAAAAGTTGTGTATTAAGGGATGTTGAAGAAGAAGAGAAGGAAGAGATGGTGGGAGTTCACAGTGAGAAATTGGCTGTTTGTTTTGGTCTACTAGTTAGTGAGATGGGGACAGTAATAAGGGTAGTGAAGAACTTAAGGATATGTGAGGACTGTCATACAAGCATCAAGATGATATCTAAATTGGAGGGAAGGAAAATAATTGTGAGGGATAATAACAGGTTTCACTGTTTTAATGATGGGCTTTGTTCTTGCAGAGATTACTGGTAGGGAAAGATATTGTAGTTTTTATAGTTTCATTCAATTTTGAATTTGATCATTGTAATTTGAAAATTGATAATTAAATCACTTTAATTCACATCATTTTTCATTCAAACTTTGTTACGGTATTTTTTCCCTCGATATTTTGTCGTTAATATAAAATAACTTTACTTCATTATTTATATTTATTATTTTCATCGCCATAAGTCATGCATGTTTAACTTTTGTAAAATTTACCGGAGTGATATTTAAATGGAAATATAGAACAAATAATAATATCATCTTCCCTTATTGATAAATCTCCATATATAATATGATAACTCTTTAACAAACAGGCCTACTATTCATCCATAAAAAGTACAACTCATTCCTTTAATTTCACACAACACACAAGATATCCTAAAACTTCATTGCCGATACTATTAAAAAAAAAAACATAATTTTTGATGAAGTTGAGTCACTCATCAAGCGGCTTCTAAGGACATTGCCTTGGTCAAAACTCGAATTTCTTCACTATTCCAGCATTAAAAGGAAAAAAAATTTGGGCAGCGAGAGTAAACGAACAGTATTAACATCACCCCTTGCCTGTATCAAACATTCTTTTGACGCCTCACATCAAAAGGTATTTGAAATTTTTTTCACAGCAATCAGTAAAGAACTGTATGTTTTAACTGCAACTATGATCATAACCGCTGCTCTCTCACCAGAATTCAAAATAAATGTGAAAAGGAGAAAATTTCTAGCTAGTCTGGCCACAACTCGTGATCAGTGTTCAACAGAGAGAAAACCACAAAATGGCAAAAAAGAAACAAGACTCCTGCATCATCTCAGCACAGCAGATGAATCTTGGGCGTCTTCATGGTAGCTCCATTTAAGCAATGCTCAAAGTTGGAGCCTCTTAGAAAACTGAAGCCAAAGATTACTTCAAAGGATCTTCATGCTTGAAAAGATGATATGCAGTTGTGACTGATATCATCTATCAGGTGTCAGCATCCTGCTTTTTCATTTCTAAACTTCCAAGCCTTAAAATATATCACATGAGAATAAAGAGATGAATAACAAACCGTAACCGTACGCAGGCAATGCTAATTAGGCTGATCATCAGCACTACAGAATATATTGATGACAACATCTTTGTAGGCAAGTTTTACTTCAACAGACAATTCTCAAAAAGATTAGACGAAGTAGGATTTAGAAATTAACATTAGCAAAACTTGACATTCTGTCTGCAAAATCATTAAAGTTCACATCTAGATAAATTTGTTATCAAACATTCTGAACCTTGTCTGTTTTGTTCAATCAGTGATTGAGAGCTTCTAGACTCTAGCCCTTTTGTTGCTACAGCTTGGGCACTTGTACTGCTTAATGTGCTCAGCCTTAGCAGGAGTAATCTTGACACATTTTCCATGGAACCATCTCTCACACACGTCACAACAGATCCAGAATTCATCATTTGCATAGTTATCGCCACATGCCCCACACGTTGCACCTTGTTCGTCATCTTCATCTTCTTCTCCACTCTCATCGTCTTCTTTGGGTGGTGGTGACATCTTCACTACCTTGGCCTGTGACTCAGATTGGCGAGACTGTTGGAAGGGAGCACACAAACAGTAAGTACAACAACACAAACACAAACACAAACACAAACCAAGAAAATGTAATTGAATACTGTGAGCCACCTTCCCACTTGATTTGCTTTTGCTACCATTGCTATGAGCAGCTGAATGATCCTTTGATTGCTTGGCACTTCCTGTCACAACTTCAAATATCGTTGGGAGATCATTTATCATTTGAAAAAGCCTTTTCCTGTATATAACCATTTGAACTAAAATTAGAAGCATATCCTACACAGAGTAAACTGTAACCTAGGTGGGGAATCATACACAAGCATTAATTCCCCCGCAGATGCATAAATAATATAGCTTTGAACAGGCAAGACTTGCAAATAGTTTCTTCAAGCTCATGAAAGATCTAGCTTAAGACCACAGAAAACAGTTAGCTTCAGAAGAGTGCTACTAAAGTCAGGCCATCATATAATGCTTTCAAAACAGACGATATAGATTCAAACAACTAAATGGCAACATAACCAACTCCATAGGCAATTCACAACACATCATAAAAAATAAAACTACCTCCTAAACGGGCAACGGCACATCAACAAAGTCATTCTACATAAAAGAACACAACATTTAATATTAAGTATTAATTATTACTTAATTGTCCCTAAAAGTCAATCTGCCACTCTAACCAATGCATAATTAACTAATCCTCTCCCTAATGCAGCTGTAGGTCAGAAGAGGAAATGCCTGACTCTTACCAAATAGCTAATAGATGTAGCAGAGGTACAAATAAGAAAGCAACCAAGGTAAGTAACTACATATCTCGGAGAGAAAAATATACCCTTGAAGATACAGAAATTCCTTCCCACATTTACAGACCAGAGAATCGCAACCGCACAAATTTTTTTTATTAAAATTATGAAACAATGTGTGTATCCCCAGACAGAATAACCTGGTGTATCCCCAAAACATGTGATGTAGGTTTGTAATCTGGAAAGGAGAAACAGGGAAAGAGGGAGAGGAACAGTGTGTGTATCCCCAGAAAAAAGAACTTGGCGTATCCCCAAAACATGTGATGTAGGTTTGTAATCTGGAAAGAATAAACAGGGAAAGAGGGAGAGAAAGAGAGTAATAGGAAACAGAGAGGGAAAGAGAGATGAGAAAGAGCTTGCTGAATATCTTCGCTGAACATTTCACTAGGGATCAGAATCATTTACACAGCCTTGTGTGTTCCTATTTATAGACATTCCCTGTTCTTCACAAGTAACTAATCCCATCAGCTAAGTCCGTCATTTACAATAATACAACAGCATCCTTCAACGGCAAAGTGATAGAAGATTTAAAGGGGAAAAAATTGAGTTGAAGTGACAAGCACAATCAATATGGATCCAGACCTAATCATAACATGGGCTACATTTGACAGTACGTCGTTAAAAGAAGGCAAGTTGACAGATCACCACGCCTTAAAGTGAAATATAATAATATTCTTTACACTCTTGCTTTTCATTCATGTAACAGGGCATTTAGTTACAACTTAAAGTCATACATTTTACATTACAATATTTTACTCAAAAAGAAATCCCAAACATAGTTTTATTCAGAAGTTCGAAATTGGATTGAAGACTTCAACAGTGCTACATCCCCATCATGGCATCACCCCATAATTATAATTCAAAAGCACACTCAAAACTTTAAATATCACGTAAGCCTCAAAAGGTTCCAGGTCCCATGAGGTCAAAGACATTAGTGAAGGGATCTATAACATGAGAACAGTGTCAACAAAATAGAAGCTACACTAGAGAGCAAATAAAATAAATGTTTTATGTTATTATCCAGTTCCTAAGATAATATATAGAAACATAAAAGACAAGCAAGGTTGAGAATCCACAGAACAAAGAGAAGCTAACAAGTTATTCTTGTAATTAGCATAAATAGGCACGAAACAAGGTCTTCTATGATTCAATATTTACAGTTACATAAAGCACAAAAAGCACTTAAACGAAGAATCTAAAAGCAAGTACTAAAATTGAATTAGCTCAATGATGTATCATCTCAATTATTCCATGAGTTATGCTCACCCATGGTGATGTTTGTCTGTGCATATAACAGTCTTATTGATACTTACACAGAACAAAATATTTAAGATATTGAAAATATAACAATAGATCAGCTGACTGAAAAATTCCTTCAAAATACTACCTCCAGTCTGAAATATAAGATCCACATTGTAGTGCAATACTGGAGGTAGTAATTAATTAATATATTACATAATTTGTTTCACTATATACATTCCGCTTTGCCTGAAATTAAAAAACATTTTAAACTAAGATGTGCAAAAGAAGTTCTGGCCAGCAAAAAAAATGTACAAAAGAAATCCAGAATTAAGACTACACAAAACAAAATGAATATGGGAAAGTAACGTTTCAAGGCTTCAAAAGAATAAAAACATGTTACATAGGAACATAATAGGAGTTACGACCCTTACCTCTCATTCTTACCAAAGCCAAATCGAGCACCAAAATAGAAAGCAACAGCAAGCAGCCATGAGTCACTGTGAACTGCAACAAGTGATAACCAGTCCTTCTCTTGCATCCCATCCCTAGCAAAGTTTATACCTAAAGCTGGCTCAGGAAGTTCAGGAGGCACTTCCTCAACTGGCAAATTCACTTGCCATGTTTCATTAGGAAATCCATATAGACACAAGTTCTCCTTCTCTACCAAAAGAACAATTTAGGATTAAGAAATAACGCACTGTATCCAACAAACACCGTAAGAGTATCAAGCATCAATTTCTCCATAAGGGACTGATGGTATCACAGGGAAGTAAATATTAAGAAGCCACTAGAATCACTTAAACTTTAAAGAAGAATCCATAGCATCAACAATGCTACTAGCATAAAGACAGAGGAGTCTTCAGCTGCCAAATAGAATACAAGCTCCCAGGAAAAAAAATAAAGATAACAATGGTGGTATGACATGCACTTATATCTTGTTGCATCGTGTTAACCAACAAAATTATTTTGGATAGTTTAGAGCAAAATGAAAACACTACCCCACGCAGTGCGTGAGGGTCCTCCAAAATGACACCGAGCAGAAAATATTCTTAACCAATCTGCCAGGTCGGAAATGGTAGGGAGAAGTTCCTCAGCAATCACTGAATCATGGACAAGTATTTCTAGAGAGAGCCCTCGCTACAAGTATTTATTAAGCGAATGCTGTGAGCTTGTGCCAGAGTAACACAAACAAGTACCGAAGCTTAAAACCACGAATGAATAGCTTAAATTTCACACTACTCAAGACAGCCCTCGCTACAACCAGTAGGCACACGTACCAAAGTGAAACAAACATGAGTGAAACACATGCTCTAAGAAAAATCACCTACAATCTATGGAGGATGAAATCCCAGGAAAAAAAAAAGGGGACAAAAAACCAAAAAATAAATAAATAAATAAAGGAAAAGAATATTGAGGTAACCCACCAGGGTCGCACTGCTGGTAGAACTTTTCGACATCTGCAAAAAGAAAGACAACAAAAAGCTCAGAAGAACAATATGAGTAAACATAAGAACTGTACAAGACTTTTCTTGATTATCGAAACTCAGAAGAAGAAGAAGAGAGCGAACCCGTAGTAAGGGCCTTAATCATTCCAGCTCTTCTGCCCTTAAAGTCGCTAAAAACCTCCTCTACTGTTCGAGGTATGGGATGCGACGACAAGCCTTCCATAATCACTCAGAACAGGAAGCACAAAATTTTCGAATTCAACTATTATATACGCCCAACCCAAAAATCCCAGTTCAAATTCCAGTAAAGAACTACAAAATGTTCCTTCTGACGCAGAATCCCCAAATAATTCAAGCAAAAAGCAAAATTGAATAAGTTTTCTGTCGCTCGCAATAGTTATAGGCCTAGGGTTTTTTCTCCTCTTTTTTACTCAAACTCCAGCAGATTTGGGGAGACGGGACACTGCGGATCCAAAGAGAATCTAGAGGAAGTGAGGAGAGGAGTGATCGAAACGGAAAAGAAGCATTGCAGAGACATAAATATAGACTTGAGAAAAGAGTGGAAGCTTGCCACTATGGCGAGTGACGAGACAGTTGGGCTTCTCTCCTGCAGACGACGGATTCGAGAATGAAATAATCTCCGAAGCTAATCCAAATTAAATAGTTGACTAAAAAAATTCAGATAATTTTATTTCCTATATATATTTAATATAAAAATTCTACCAAAAATCCTAGTACTCCTCTAGTCCTTAATATAAGACCCAATTGTTGAGTTAGTTTTGGTCTTAAATACAAGACCCATTTATCATATTTATCAATTTTCTCTAAATTACCCCTATAGATATTATCTAAACCATAATTAAGTAGAAGGGGGAGAAAGGTATTAAGAAAGATGATCATAGTGTTTTAGGAAAAACATGTCACATTTTTTATAATTAACTAACTTACCTAACTTCCTTAATCTAATCAAATTAGTCAAATGGGTCTTATATTAAGGACTGGAGGAGTATCATATTAGTAGTTATAATTCATAATTTTTTTAAGTCGGACATGCCATTAAATAGTCATCAAAATATGATGGTAAAAAAAACTACTCATCAAAATATCAAACATCAAATTATATTGGTTTACTTATTTTGTATAATATAATATATACTTCTTATTTTAGACATATTAATTCAAAAAGAAAATTATTTTTTTGAAAAATTATTAATTTTGTGGCCCAGAAAAATTATTATCTCCAGTTTTTAATATAAGATCTTGTTTGACTTTTATTTTGGTCTTAAATATAAGACCCCAATCTATTTTGTCTCTCATATTTATACATTTTTTTTCCAAAATAGTCCTTTTAATAATAATAATTCTAGCCAATACACTTGATTAGTAATGATATTTTAGGAAAGACAACACCTATTTAGTACAAATAACTAACTTAAATTCTTTCTTTAATTTTCTCAAATTAATCAACTAGTTTTTTATAAATAGGACCGGAGGTAGTATTATTTTATATGCAATATAAATTTTATAGGAAACTCATTACATATGAATTATAAACAATACATGTATAATTTTCTTTAAATCTGATGCCAAGTATGAACTCATAATATATTTGAACATAAAAATTCAAAAAAAAATACTATATTGATCTTCAAAATAAATTTTGATGGTAAAAATGATGTAATAAGAGTACAAGAAGAGCAATATTAATCAATGCGATTTCTTTGATAAAAAGACCTTTTAATCCATCTGTGACTTCCATTAATATTTCTCAAAACTTTTGATATGGGACTTTTTCACGTTTATACCAATGATTTCAGGCGTAGATTGTATCATTGGTCCGAGTTCCAAATGGCCTTTAGCGTAAGGCATTACATTGCTAGACCAATTCTTTGTTAATTATTTATATACATATATTATTATATAAATTCATCATATTATTTTTTATCTAATTATTATACCACCGATTTTACTATTGTTCAGAGTGGATGAATTTTGTCTCGCTAACTTTTTCAATTTGATACTGGGTTTGACTTTTAAATATTAATATATGCCAAATCCAACTCAAATACTCTTCCGGTCCTTAATATATAACCTAATTGTTAAGTTAGTTTTGATCCTAAATATAAGACCCATTTCTTATATTTATCAATTTTCTCTAAATTATTCCTATAGATACTCCATCAACTATAATCAAATAGTAGAGGAAAATGGGATATTAAGGAAGATAATTATAGTATTTTAAGAAAATCATGTCACATTTAAAAGGTGACTTAAAATACAGATAAGCCCGATTCAGTTAGAAGGTGTTATTTGGGAGGGCGTCTGTTGTATTGGGCTTGTGAAAATTTAAGCTAGCCAGTCGTACGTTTAAAATAAGCTAAAGAATAGAGTTTATGAGTAGCTTATTTTGTCCCACTTCTAAATTAGGGTTCTGACATGCTCAGCAAATTTTTATTCCCTTTTTCTCTCCCTTTTGCATTATTTTTTCCAGAGCATTTTCTCTAAAGTTTTCAAAATTTAATTAACTCAATTAATTTCATTTCTTCATATTAAATTAATTTAAATTTATTGTATTATCTCAGTTCATTTTTTTTCCATATTTCACTTTATATTTAAATTATTTTTATGATTTCTCTAAAATTTTAAAATTTAATTCACTCATTAAATTTGACTTCTTCATATTGAATTCTTTTAATTTTATTGTATTATGTGAAATCATTTTTTTTTAAATTATGTTTGATTATTTATTAAAACTCACACCCATTTTAGTTATTTTACAACCATAATCTAAACAACTTTTTACCAATCTTACTTTTACAAACTGGCTTTTTTGAATTCTAATCCAAACACAAATCAACTTATCAAATTTAGCTTATATCCAACTTTACTTCTCCAAAAGCTACTTTTCCAATCGCTGATCCAAACGGGCTCTTACCTAACTTGTTTAATCTAATCAAATTAGTTAAATGAGTCTTATATTAAGGATCGGGGAGTACTTATGTTTAAGTAGGCAAAACTTATTTCATATTTTCATTAGAATTAATTGGCACTCTTTTTTTTTCTTTTTTCCTTTTTGGCTATGCATAAACATTCTCTTTTTATGCGAGGCAATTCCATTTAAAGTCATGTGGCATAAATTTAAATATTACTCTTTCGATTCTTAATATAAGACCTAATTGTTGAGCTGATTTTGGTTCTAAATATAAGATTCATTTATCATATTTATCAATTTTCTCTAAATTATCCCTATGGATACTCCGTCAACCATAATCAAATAGAAGAGGGAGATGGGTATTAGGAAAGATGATTATGGTGTTTTAAGAAAAATGTGTCATTTTTCTTATAATTAAAACTTTCTTAATCTAATCAAATTAGTTAAATAGGTCTTATATTAAGAATCAGAGGAGTATTGGTTTATTATGTTATGAAAGATTAGTCTCCTACGTCTACTGGCACTCAAATCATGATCAAATGACATGTAATTTTTTTTTGGTGATACAAATGACATGTAATTTGCTCGCACGCCGGATCCCACTTCTGGGCCGACCCCGCTTATTCTAATTTCGCCGGGTTGAGTGTCGGATAGATCCGGAAGCAGAGGGTTTAGCGGTTTATGGAAGGCTCGGAAAATGAGACGCTCTAATTTGTCGATCGAAGCCTCTCTCAATTCAAACATCTTTTCCAATATATACACACGAACAAAATCAAATCCCAAACTGTACATACCAAACGGGATACACTTTCTCGTTTCTTGCTCTCGACGGCGTGACCAGCTGCGGCGGAACAAGCGGCGAACGATGTGGGACACGGGATGCAGAAGACACAGAAAAGACGCAGGAGCAACTAAAGGCGTGTGATATTCCTCTGTAGTTCATCTTTTCCTGGTTCGTGTAGGGCCAAGGAAGGCAATTAAGCATATAACCTGGGGCTTTGCAGGTTCCTAACCAGCCACCTCCCTCGCGGGTTTAATAGAATAGTTGTATGATTAAGTCAAGTTCAACATTTCAGGGTGATAGCTTCCACCTTTAAAGGCTTGTGGTGGAGCTAGTGGAACAACTGTAAAAGAGCCTAACAGTGGAAGTAAAAAGTTGAGATTCGAAGTAAAAATTCAATCTTACATCGTTTTGGGGCCATTGCTTTATTGCATATGTGGCATAGTAATATCACCATGCGATTTGTAGAGAAGCACTTCTTGGGTTGATCATCCGTCGATGTAAAAGCTGATACTCGGGATGTCTCATTTATTGTTGGGAGCCATTTTGGTCCGGAGGCTTAATGGTCTTGGTCTACTATGTAGACGTGCTTCTTTACAGAGGAACTTGAGTAACTTAATATCTGATTCTATCAGAGACAGGCACTCCTTCGGTGCCAAAATTATCTTCGGTATGTGATGAATCCTTCTTCCCCACGCCCCTCCGTTTTTTTTTTCCTGGTGTATGCTTCCTGTTCTGTTATGAGACCGCAATTTCCAAGAGTAATTAAAGATCATGTTGTTTTTGGGAGGAGATGGGTTAAACTTATTTGATGATTGACAGCTTGTTGCTTTGCAGAAAAACCTTTTAATCGTTTGCTCATACACGGCTCAGCAGCAAACTATTTGGATTGCAATGGTGGCTTGATTATTTCAACTATTAGTACTTCTTGTTCGGTTCTGCATGACAGGGGATTTTGTACCCTTGCTGGGGAGAAACTGATTGAATCTGATTTGCACGCTACTGAAACTGAAAACCATTCGGTGAAGTCTTCTGCTGACTTAGATGATGGTTGTACCACGATAGGCTGTTTTGAGAAGTCTTGTGATGATTCTGGTGATGTTTTAGTGACCAAGAAAACATATGAAAAACCGGTGGATTTCACTAAAATCGAAATTGCTAAGCTCCCTGTTGTTATGATCATCGGTCGCCCTAATGTAGGGAAGTCAGCATTGTTTAACCGGTGAGTACTTTTTTTGGTAGATCCTTAGTTTTCTGTCAATTAAGGCAAGATACACAACGTTGAACTCTGATCACATTTTTGTGTGGATGATAACTTTTAGTTTGATCCGGAGGAGGGAGGCTCTGGTATATAACACACCTGATGATCATGTTACTCGGGACATACGAGAAGGGGTTGCCAAGTTGGGTGATTTACGGTTTAAAGTGTTAGATTCGGCTGGATTAGAAGCAGAAGCGACTTCGGGGTCAATCCTTCACAGAACAGCAGGAATGACTGCTAGTGTATTATCTAGGTCTCAGTTTGCAATCTTTCTGACAGATGGAAGGTTAGTTTTAAACATGAATTGCATATATATAAGCCTTTTTGCATGAATTAAGTTGTCTGATTGCTGTCTGGCTTGATGATCTGCATTATACTTATGGGAGCTTAGGCGACAATGTGCTATGAACATTAAAACTTAAATATATTTGAAAACCAGAGGAAAAAAACACTTCTGTATTTCATATTTTAAATGTAACTGACGTCTTGTCACCAATCCTTACAATTTTGAATTGCAACTCTTTAATGCAAAGTGCTAATTCTGATTTTGCTTGAATATTTTTTCCATTTATTATTGACTTTTCTGACCAGATTTGGACTTCATCCTCTTGATTTGGAGGTTGGAAAATGGCTGCGCA